GGACAGATGATGACGAACAGAATTTTAGGAGTCACAATATTTGGAGTGCAAATGGAAAGTATTGTAGGAACACAGGTGTAGTGTTAGAAACTAGTCTCTATGAGGATCCAACATTGCGTCTAGTTTTGAGTCTTCAACATGCTACACTTAGTGAGCGTCGGACGCCACAGCTAAGTCGGACACCAACCCGCCCATCATTTGAATTAGAGGTGACCTTGTGACCTGAGAGCTTGACCGCAGTGCTCAAGGGACAACTGCTTGTGGTCGGTCACACACGACGTTTTTGTAAGTGATTTTCGTGTCAGCTTCGTACTGGTTGAGACCTTACCGCCGGAGACGGATATCCGTGGGATAAGGCAAGGTGTGCATTTTAGGGTGGGCCTTTTATAACCCCATCCCTCCTTGTGGGAAGGCAGCATTGCTGTTATGCGGGTTCTCTGAAGGAAATACCTTACTGCCATCACACCTGCACAGTCAGCAGTACGACTTCGCTATCGGACCTTGCTGCTTTTAGTCTTACCGTTCTTCAGCCGACCTGTCTGGCACAGTAGGACCATGAGGAGTGATTATTCCGGCCAGTATAGTTCGATTGGTTCATCACGACAGCAAAGCCCGACCACCACGTCAAAGTAGCAGCAACGGTCGAGGTGACGACATCAGAGGGTAAGCCAATAATCAGGGATTACTAGACTGCGGTCTTGTCCCAATACGGAACAGCTCGACGGTGAACGCTTTTTATCGAATCCAAATGCTAATCTTTTTGTAAGTTTCGTATATACGTATATTGACAGCATAACGGTATTCGTGTCATAACAGGTCCTCATTACTAACGCTAATTTAAGGCTAAAATTGTAGATGTAGGGCATCGATGACTTAAAACAGCACATAGAATAAGTAGGTTAAAAAAGTGAATCGCGAAATCTTTTGCCGACAAGATTTGTTAACGTTGTTTGTTTTTGAATTTAAACTCGATGAGGATCTTAGTAAATGTAATATACAAACTGGCAGAAAAAGATTTATATCTGGGGATAAAGTCCCAAACGCTACTACCCGGATAACATGTGGGAAATTAAAAAGCAGCAAAACACGAGCAGTATAAAGCAAGCAAAGGAAAAAACGTCCATTGAAAAGATAAGATAATAGTAGTGAAATTAGCACAAGCTGTGCATGTATTCCTTCTCTTGTACTACGCAATCTGCAGTCCCTGAAAATGTTTAAACGCTGTTTTCACGATAATTGAACTCGAACTGACTATCGTAATTTTTCCTCCACACTTTTTGTAGAAGAAGGTTTATTACAGCATATCTATGGAATTTCAGACGTCTAAAACAATCTTGACGTACGCGTCTCCTCAAGGTCATGGTTTTCAGCTAGCGCACTACGAGTCTACTTTGCAACAACTATAGACTTAATAAGTTGGGAAGCATTTTATGAGCCAACAAATGTTGTAATTTGTAGATTATGCCTGTGAAAATGGCGTGTACCTGCTCTTGCAGAAATATATTATTATTTACTAAGATTCTTATCGAGTTTTAATTCAAAAACAAACAAGAAATAAGGGAAGTCAAGATTTGTACAAGGAAAGCTGTTTATTAGAAGAAAGTGTGCATATTGAGGGTGGAGTGATAAGAATACTAATAACTATATCTTTTACTGTCTAATTTTTTTTCGTTTTTCTTTTTTGTCCATCCGATGCCAGCCACAAAATCCTAGTGTAATAGTCCGAGTTAGCATGTTATAGGTTGTCTTATTACAATAGCTAATCCGGCATGAAATTGGGAACGTGACAGTGAATAGCGAGCGTCGGGGAACAACCTCAATATTACTGAATGAATATCTCCTTCTTAATCACGACGAACCTGATACAAACAAAATATTCTGCCCCACAAATATGGGTGGATTGAAGTCATCGCTCTCACCATCATTGCTTGCTGGTCAGTAATTCCGCCCTCCCTCCTTTTGTGATGCTAGGCTCATTTGAGCTTATTTTTGGATATATGTCATACCTCACACAATTCTCTGTGTTTCACAACCTATTGGAAAGCACTATTTCTATAAGCACCATTTTACAAGCTTATCAGGCAGTTACAAGCTATTGACTGTGGGTAAGGCATCGATGCAGTGCTTCTGTTGACTATAGTATAAAGTATAGTTTGTCAGAGTATAAGCATTAAGAAGGGTATAATGTAGAATAGTTGTTTATTAAAGCAGGCGGAAAAGTATAGATATATATGAGTTGTAGATAAGGTAACAAGTGGAGAAATAATATTAATAGCCAGTCAATATAGTGTATAGAAGAGTAAAAAGCTAATACAGGATAAACAGGTAGAAACCCACATTAACTTGGTGCTGATGTTATTTTGTGTTGTCCTAACCAGTTGATGGGTAACAGGCTCCATAGATGCAAGATCATTGGTAGTAGGCAGTCGATTCTGCGTTTCTCTTGACTTTTTAGGGTGGTAGTGAGCGTCCCTTATCGACCGAGTTTAGTTGAACAGTATCGATAGGTCCAGTGAGTTGCTTGTCTATTTCAAGTGAAGAAATTGGATGGAAAAAGTGACTAACACAGCTGCAAAGTAGGAAAAATAAGGCAAACTGAATCTCGGGCAAGAACTATCTTACATGTTAAAAAAGTAAGGTTTTTGAGTAGTTTGAAATAGAGAATCAAATTAGACCTAAGCCTTCTCTCCAAAAGGGGTGCTATTCCTAATATTTGGCATCAGGAACTGTAGTCAGTGACTGAGTCGGTCATAAGTGTTTTGCGGGTGAAGTCTCTTTGTATTCCTTCCACCTTTAGTATATCAGATAGGCGTAGGTTGGAAAATAAGAACGAGCAGTATTCAACGATAGATCTTACACAAACTTTATAAAGAAGGATTTGAGATTCATTTTGATAGAAATTACAAGGAATGAAGCCAAGCGATTTCCGCATTTCAGATGCTTTGGCTGAGATGAGTTCAGAGGAATTAAGACTGTGTGAGTAATGTACCCCTAGGTCAGTTACTGATGCCAGTCTGGACAGGGTGTCATGGTTAAGTGTTGTTTTTATTTTGATAAACGTGTCTCCTATACATAACCAGCCGCATTTCCCTGTGTTGAGCTCTGACCTCTAGCGTTTGAACCAGTCGTCTACCATGTTGAGTTCGTGCTGGATTGTTTGCATAGTACTACGTACATCACAAATGTCAGTTTTATAGATGACTTTTAAGTCATCGGCATAGAGATAGGTTTTACCTGTGCTAAAGTACTTGCATATATTGTTGATATAGATTATAGAGAGCAATGAATCCAAGACAGCACTCTGCACAACACCACTGGTTATTGGTCGAGGTGTAGATGTTTTAGAGTTAATCTTGGTTATTTGGTATCTTTTCTTAAGAAAAGACTTGGTCCATCGCAAAAGGGGATTTATAATTCCAACTGACTTAAGTATGTTGATTAGAAGATTATGAGGTACTTTATCAAAGGTTTTCTTAATATCGAAATATGGTATGACCACTAGTATCTTCTGACCACGTGTACGAGTAACGTCGTTAAAGAAGTCTATCAGATATGTACTACATGACCTTGTTCTGATGAAGCCGTGTTGTGACGGGTCTATTAGATCTTCCTTAAGTATGTGATCGGAGAGCTCAGTTTGTATCACTTTTTCCATTATGCGTGTCTAGTGAAGATTTGGTGGTAGTATTGAATATTTCTAATGTTTCTAAGAGGTTATCACTGGTAAAGAAACCGCTCCAGTCAAAGTGCTTTATTAGAAATCGAAAGTTTTTCCAGTCAACGTTTGCATAGTCTCTATGCTGGAAACGCGTATTTAATGTCTTTAATTTGTTGCACATGGCAGGAATATACAAACTGACAGAAAAAGATTTATATCTGGTGATATATCAGGAGATACCGAAAAAAACAGAATTATACAGAAAACATTCAGCATGTAGGTATGAAATTTGAGGAAAGTTTCATCTTACAGACGAGTGCAAACTGAAATAACCCCCTAAAACCATAAAATATCCACTTCCGTCCTGGTAATCGTCTCTCTAACAATACATCAGAAAATAGACTAGCTCTTCTTCTGACAGATACTGCGACGTCAGTAATAGCTACCTGAGTGATACAAACAATAATTAAGCTGCGCTGCACTCTGTCCGAGGACAGATAACGGCGTGATGCTGGTAGCAGCAAGCAAATCCTGAAATAGGTAGTTCTGTGGCCTTTGACATTGATACTTACTTCATCAGTCCACCTGTACACACTGCGAACTGAAGACGCCCGATCAGTCGACGACTGGGTATAATGTGTGCTTCATCTTTCGCATGACCTGGTCAGCTTCACTTACTTTCAATACATCGCTCATCTCCCTAGAACCACTTCACTCCTGACCTACGGTTCGATTAGTTTTAGGATCATCATTCGGAAACGAGTTATGGACAGTATCGTTGTCGAGCATTCAGTATTCGTGAAGTGTTTGTGTTAATCTGCTTAAACCAAATTGAAGTTCAAAACGAAGTGGAGACGGATCTAAGAAGAAACTGTATGAATACTAATTTCTCGGTTTGATCGAGCTAGGCTGTAGAACACGAAGCCACCTGATCATATTGGACAACGTATTAAGTGTTCTAGATCATCACCAAAACTCTTTTGTGCTCTTATTGACTCATGATTTACATATATCCATTCAAAGTTATGCGCTCATTCGTCTCCTTTATTCTGTTGAGTTTTTTCATTGCGTTATGGAAGCCACCAGTTTAGCTATTCTAACTACTGACCACTAAAGTGACAACTTCTGGTAAGAGAGACAATGACTAAGGACAAATAGACTAAGACTGAAAATTTGCTGACTGTCGAATAATTGGAAACTTTCCCAGGAATATTATAGTCTAGTAAGTAGGTAGGTTACTATAAACATTTTAAAGCAACTGAAGACTTTTATTAACATTTAAACGCTGGTAAGAAGAAATCAAACGACTTGTTAGGCTCGTTAGATAGATATTGAACACAAAATGTGTTACTATAGTGATATTAATACTTTCAAACGTACTTGGAGCCTTACGGTACAGTTTTGTAGTTGTGATTATCTTGTTGTCTTGAGTTCACGCTAGTGTTATCTCTGTTTTCTGTCAGTTGTATCCACGGCTAGGTGTAAATGATTCCTATATGTTTACTAATCAGTCAGACTACAGTCGGATAGCCTATTTCCCATAGGAACCCAACATCCCTACTTTGTGGAATATTTTGTCTGTTTTGGGGAAACCGCTTTAGAAAACTTTGGGAAAATGGCAAAAACTTCAAAGTTTCCCCAGGTTTGGGAACGTCCCCAAAGGCTTTGCGAAATTTCGGATTCCCAATCTCCGAATTTCGGGGGAAGCCGACATAGTAAACTTTGAGGAAATGGCACAAAAAAACCCGAAATTCCCCAATATCTCGCGAAAATTTCCCCATAATCCTATTACACTTTTGGGGAAGTGGGCTCATATTTATTAACACCACCCCAAAATTGTGAAAAAACTTTGGGGAAAGTTTTTGCGTTTTTCTTCAAAACTTCCTCTGACTTTGGCGAAAAATCCCTCCAATATTATTGTTGAAAAATGTCCCTAATACCTTATAACACTTTGGGGTTTTCCCTCAAAATTTGCCCGAAATTCCTCGGCGTTTTCGCAAAATAAGAAGATTGGGGAGCGATTTCGTGCTCAATTTTGGAGGGAAATTCCACAATATTCAAACTTCGTGAAATGTTTGACCCGTTTTGAGGAAATACTGAAGGGAATTTTGACAAGTTTAACTAAAAACCCTAAAATGTTCATCAGTCTGGGGTATAAACTTTAGTCTAACTATCTCCCATAGAATAATTAATCCATGTGGGATAGTTAAAGTCGACTTTTCTCGTAATTAGTTTTGGCACTATTTTCATTTTTCATAAATTCTTACAATTTGCGATTTTAAATGACATGTTGTTTAAAAAATAACCTTTGACCTCCCGTTCCGGTTTGTGAACACACAACATGACCCATTGGTTATCTCTCACAAATACACTGCTGCACACATAGGCTATTCTAGTTTCTGAACAGACTAATCTATTCATTCTTCTCAAAACACTTTTTAACCTTGTCACTTACTGGCTTATTACCCTGACTGTTTTTATATGATTGTACGTGGGTTAATTACTTACCCTTTTCATTATTTGTCTGTAACGTATTTTTGTTTGACTATAAATGTCGAGTCACGCTTCATTAAATAGAGTTGGCTTCTTTGCCTCCTCTATCGCGCGCCATTTCGCTTCGTTTCTACCATCAATTGTCTGGATCAACGACTGTATGAAATACACGTATTTGGAATCCATTCTCGCATTTGACCTACTTAATCCCGTTATTCACCAACGCAAGTCAAGTTGATAATTATGTACGAGGATTGACGACATGTACATTTCGATAGCAATCATTCATACGATCTGAATTGAGTCAGATATAGAGCCACTAAAGTTCAGTAGACGCAAGCCTACTGAAGGCTGAATGTTGCAACTTTTCTAAATTAGTATACCACTGTTGTTATGATATTATATATAATGTCAAGCAAGAGACAGCTTTTGACTTAAAAATCATTAATTGGTTGGATCATCACATGTGCTTGGACAATTGCTACCCAAACAACCTAAAAATGAGGTAATAAAGATGAAAGCGCCGAAATATGATGACGGAGGGTAAACGTGTCACCACTAACAAATCTGTGTTTTTAGCTCAGAACATCTTCAATGTTTGCTCTTATTTGTATTGCAGAACAAAAGTTTAGATACAGCTGACTAGACCAAAAAATTATACGTATTTAAAGATATTCATTGACGAAAATCAACATAGTTAACAGCCAGCTAACGTCGAAGTCACACCTCATGACTAGTACGTATCGTGATTTACCCACGTACTATGGCTATTTTGATGATCATACAACACAGACGACGTTATTACAGAAATAAATTGGTAAGAGTAGGTACAAAAAACGGAATGAGACCACTGCTGCATTTGCTAGTCCATGGCGTGCAATCAATTTATGCCAGTTTTTATCCTTGACTTTGATGAGGATTGGTGAACTGTCCGATATTCAGTGACCCAACTGTCAGATGATTTGGCTAGGACCCAGTGACGTTTGACTGGCCCTACATGCTCACCATACATTTTCATTGTAAATGCTAATTCTTATAGTCATTTAAGAAGATCTTCGAAAAGATTGTAAGTAACAGGAAATGAGTTATTTACTAAGAATGTGTTCTGAGTATCAACTCCATATAAAATCATGCACGCTCTCACTACATACATTTAATTTGTCTCAATGTAGCACTTATAAGTGAGGAAGTGAATGCATAGTAAAAACACTTTATTAGAGAAATGGGTCTCTTTGGAACTTCATTGGTACCATTCAGAATCATATTGATCATCCTGTGGATCCTGAGATATAATAAAAATTAATATTTACAACAATGCTAGACTGGTATATTTGTTTTTTATTACCAAGTGACAACATAAAGTGAGACACGATAATGTTCGTTAACACCAAACACTGCACCTATAAAGCAACAATGAAAAGTCATCACCTCAAATTCTTACTTGCATTATCCATCCTCTCTCTATAACGCCTTCATTGTTTATCTCATGTCGTGGAAATGTCCTTGCGTCGCCATGTCATACAATTTCACGAGGTATTTTTCAATGACAGTTGATGATGAAGTATGATGATTAGTAGTATTTGAATTGTATTACAAACAAAGAATCTCATCAATAACGCAATTTTACCAAGAAGTATTAGATAAGCACGACTGAACGTATTGTATCAAGCAGTCATCAAGTACAAAGGAATCATTAGTTCATACAAACACCACATAAAGACCGTAGTGTTCGTGTGCCTAAAGATTAATAAACACTTCATGTTCTGCCACAAAACCTGCACGTCTGGCGTGCTCGTTTTGATGAAGCGTGAAGGAGCTGGCCGCTTCAGGTTTCATGATGTATGACAAGATATAGCCCACGGATGTTTCGGGCTTATCAACCATTAACCGCATCAGTGTGGCCATTTACAATGTAAAGTGATAACCCAACGGTTTTCGTAGACTAATAAGTTTGTCCCTCATGTGTTTTACCAAATACATGCATCTAGCGCCTGCATTTCCTCTCCAGATGACAAGGGGGAATTCAAAGTTCATAGTCCCATATCACGTTTCCATGGATTATCTTGCCTATCGGACTGAGACTGAGACATGAGCTGCATAACGTTGATACTGATGTCTGATATTACTGATGACATGTTCTGCAGAACAGCATGCAGGTTTGCGAATCTAGGACGGACTCCATTTCAAGATATGGTCTAATCAACCACAAAACTAGTCTCAACAGTGGTTGACAGCAACGTTTCTGCTTATATAGAACTTATTTATAAACATTTATAGGTAGAACACGCTAGTTCGCGATTGATAACACTGTAGTGTTTATTAACCTGAACTTTGGATATTAAGCGTGACTGATTCTATCCTAGATTTCAGTCACGTCCATGTCAACTGTAGATGAACATTCACCAAACTAGAACGTGTAATACCACTGGAGAATTTACTCTAATGCCACTCCCAGGTATCTAAGGGAGTTAGACACTACATATTTTTTCAAATATTTATGGTAGAAATCAAGTACGAGGATGATCTTGAGCGGTTCTCGGAATTATTGCGAAATAATTACACCTTACCCCACTCAAAATAAGGTTAAGAACTGAGATTAAGAGTTAAGGTAACGAGTCAGGATAATAAACTACAGTTATTTTTCCATCATGAACTGACATCAATCATAATCCGAGAACCCTAAATAAGCATATAAAGTGAATGGATATCATGTAAGAATTCAAGAGGCACAATCTGAAACTTGATTTGTCCGGCTCTGTACTTTAGTTCCAACCTACATACATTTTACGCCTTCGGATTTTTCTGTTATTGTTTTCTTAGTTAGATATACCAGTTTCAACTTCATGCATACGTCATTGCTAATTGTTATTGATTGCTTTATTATCAAGTGTAACTATTCCGTGTGCATAAATGCATACCAAGTTCACTGTGGAGTCTACTCACACTTTCTCTTGTCTTTCTCTCCCAGATTCCTACTCACACTCGTCATCCCGTCGTCAACCACATACCACTAGACAATACGTAAACCTGTAAACGATTACACACTAAATGCCAAGAAATGCAGAAGTTCATATATGGCACGGGAAATACCCTGTTGCAGGAATATGCAAAAATAGAAAACACCGATTGGTGGGACTTCAAGGTACTTTCAAAGTTTTAGAACAACGTTAAGTGACCTAGAACAATTGTCAAAAGAGGGACATACTACTTATCTCCACGATTTGAGTGACTTTTATGAAATCACCGAAATAAAAGTTAATGAAGAGGTTGTTCATCACTGCAAAATTACTGATTTTCAGTTTGGTATGCAAAATAATTTGTTTTTCTCAGTTTAGGAAAATTTTCAGGAGGTGATGGGGAGCTGGATCCGCTATGCAAACTAATTGTAGATAAAGTCAATACTGCATATTAAGGCCTGTCAAATGCCTTTCTCGAATACAGAAGACGAAATAAATTGTATTTGCAAAGTCGTATTGCTAACTTTTGACACTGTTAATCACTTTAATGGTGTCTACTAAACCCTGTAAAACATTGCTTATTTATTATATGTATAAAAAGCTTGCCCTCATGGGTTCATAAGATTTTACTCAGCTCAAAAACATTTTAATGGATCCCTCCGTTTTTTGTTTTGTAGACCGTATCAATGTGATTAAATCGTAAGGTTTAGGATTTTTAATTTGGCGTCTTGGTACTAATGCATTACATTTAACGTATCTAAATGGGGTAATTTTAAAAACTGACTTTAGATTATATTTTTCTCTGTGATCCGCGCCTGTTGTTGATAAGCTCTGAGATTTATGACGATCTCATTTTGTATATGTGTGAAATACACCTACAAGTCATCCGTGAGTGTGTGGACAGTGAAGATCATTGGCTCTAGAACTATTGTCAAGACCAATTGAATATGTTTGAGGCCTCTTCCAAAGGCTCTTAATGTTCTCCACATTCAACGCTTAAAGTCAACATAGGCCGTTCCGGGCTTTGATATTCAAATGTGGAAGAACCTATCGACCAAGCTAGATATCGAGTGACTGAGCTTGGATGGCTCACTAGTTATATCTCACTTGGGATTCCCTCTGGGTTCTCACGAGAATATTTGTACATAATCGGCCACTAAGAAGCCCACTTGAATATACCTGCGTGGTTTTGTGTTGCAAGTGTTTGTATTTTTTGATGTATTGCCAGTCAATCTAGGTTAAGATTCGGTAATGAAAGTTTTCATATGGATTTTTAAAAGTATAAATTGGCTTACTAATTCGAGAAACAGAAAAACACTCGAGATAAATCTTTCCAAGCACTCATTATAATTTATCCTCTTATCAGTGCCACAGTATAATTGTCTATTATTCCAGAATGCTTCCTTTTTTAACGTAACTGTATACTGGGTTAGTTAGTTCCTGTATGTCTTCTTGAATTTTTACATTTCCTTTGAAGGGTTTTATGATTTTACCCTATGGTCTGTTAGCTCTCAGTTATACCACTTTTCTAAACAAAATTTGTGCGTTTTATCACAGAATCAATTACGTTATATTTAATTGAGTTTATTTAGCTAAAATCTGCAATTGTTATGATTCATCACAATGGACTCTGCTGCATGATGTAAAATGTAGTAAATAAAGAAGTATTAAAACTACGTGTAAAAATGATTTTCATAGGTTAACTTATAGAAATATATTGAGGATAAATCCCATATCAAAGATATCCTACTTATTTTAATATAAATATTCTAGATTTGGATATTGACTTCAACAACTTTAAAGCGTCTTATTCTTCTCGCTTACAACATTTAAATTATCCAGGAAACGAGTACATATCTAAAAGACTGGAATGATAAGGAAATCAACATAGCGAGTAGAATAGAAAGCAAGTGTTTACAGAATCCGCTTTTCGATATCAGTCCACAAAGAATATATCTGTACTAATAATGCTAGGAGTATATAGATATCAATACCAAGGTTGGAATTGATAGTTTCAAATAAATTGAGCATTGGGTAGAAAGTTAATAATAAATATGTTTTTGTTATAAATCATATGGATATAACAAAAATATATCTATGATTAATGTTGGGAGTATGTTTTTGTCATCAATTTTATCAGATATTCGGCTTTATGAGCAATAAGTTTATCCCTATGGTAGGAAATTATTGTAAGTATTCCACTGATACAGGCAACTGTGATTGCATTTTTAAAAATTCTCAGTACACGAGACAAATATTTTTCACCTTAGGAAGTCTTATGCACAGAGAATTACAACAATTTTGCTTTCTTATCTAGGAAATGACGTCCTAAGTTTAATTAATGTAAAGGGAAGATGAGGTCACTTAGCTCCAAAATATGTTTTCAAGTTGCACAATTGTGCATACACGTTACTTGTTTAATGTATTTCAACTAAAAGGCGGATAAATATTATGGTCGATGGACACTGTTGAGGAGTTTCAAGCCAGGACAAAACAGCTCACCGATATTTTCTTATTTTTGGTAGACACAACTTCGCAATGGCTCTCGCCACACTAAATTGTTCACCATAATCTACCCACCAAGATTCCTACTACTTAATAACATAGTTAATGTGGAATTTAAATAATCATTTCTTAGCTGTAGCAAGTCATGTTAAGTCAATCAAAAACATTTGCATTGAGCTCGTATTTATTGGCGCTAACCAACATTGATGAAGCTACTCCTCACTAATGACGCCGTGTAGTGTCCCACCTTTTGCTCACAATCTTACACAACTGAGTCTTACACATCTCCAAAGGAAACAGATGGTTCACAAGGTTTTAGACTAAGTTTAATGGTCACATAATAGTATTGTGAGGACAGATCTCCATGAACATATGTAAGTGAACCCCATAACTACTTATATTTCTGGTCAAAGATGTAGTACAAATAAGTCAGGTATTCTCTTTTGAACTAAACGAAATGATAATTTAGTAAATTCTGAGTGTTTTACCTTAGCTTGATAGCTTCAACGCGACTTAAGTAATCTATGGAAGCATGTTATTGCAGTCACATGTTTGTCCACGTGGAGACGAACTGTTTGACTGAATAATGCACAAACGACTTATTACCGTGTGCTATCCTTTAGTTTGTTGACTATCCATCTCTGTTGTTCCTTCCCAATAACTCATTAAACTGTTTACAAATTGTTACCGATTGGACGATTTCTCTCTGATGTTACTGAATAAATTTCTGGGATAAGTGATTTACTAAGATTCTCATTAAACCCTGATTTATCACTATAGCTTACCTACTTATGCTGTTGAACTCTGTCTAGTAGTTTTCTATAAGTAATCATACTCAACCAGTCGCTTATCACTCTAAAGGATCATGTTTTCCCACTGTCTTAATCATAAATTAAGTGAATAACTATAACTGATTATATTGTGGAAGATTTTATTTCAGATAAAATGTTTTGAAAAGTGAGTTATTCATGTTGTCTTGAATCTGCTTTTGTCCGTCTTTTGACCATGATTTGTTCAAGCTGATAATCCCCTCATATTACGTAATGAAATTCATTTACTACATGTTTACATCGAGTTTAATCGCTCATATAACCTTACAACATGTAGCTTTTATTATATAAGAGGACTTGAAAGTGAGGCTAATATAGTAAATGTGAATTCCAGATCTCATTTTTCTCATGCAACCCTTACTTTGAAATCGATCATTTAATCGATATCCCCTTGTAGTGAACGAGAACACAAATGGGGACAACTAAATGTACTTGAACACAAAATTACATGATCTATTAGTAAAATCTGAGAACTATGTATAAAATACTTCATTCGCGAAATGTCAATCAGTTGTTTCAGACTTCATTGTTCCTTCGTTTTCTCACTAATAGTTCTCTTTTCTTCGATCTCCCTAACCTGTCACCAAGTATTTCACTTTCGATTGATGATACACACTACTTATATCTGTGGACATCAGTAGCACCCACCACACACTGTCTTATTCAAATTTGAATGAGTCAGGAAAAAAACGAGATCCAGTCATTTAGATACTAATTCTGAATGAGTGGAAATTACAAACAATTTTGTCTCATATAGACTTATAAAGAGATGTGCATTTTCACTTTTCTCCATTATTCTAACTGAGCGAACCACTGAAACACAGTTAATATAACTTACTAAATGGTTTGGTGTCAAATATTTAACCCGTTTGTAGCTGTTCTTTCTACCATAACGACAAAATCACGAACCAAAACTATTATAAGCAAAACCTGTTAATCAGGCCTCATTTTATCATAAACTGTTACTTGAACAAAATCCCAATACATTTAAATCAGAATTATTTGGTTTAAATGACCAGGTCACCTTCACATTGAGAAAATAAACACGACTAAAGATGACATAGAATTCCTGTAAGTCATATGGGATAACACGGCTACGGCCAAGTGGTTAGTTGATGTTCTTCGGTAAGATGATTAATTTGTCACTCAAAACAATCAGTATGGAAATTCATTGAAATTCTAAACTGATCTGAGTGAGACCGTCATTGAGAAGGAAGGAGCATCGTACGTCCTTTTCGTCCTAGGATGGGACTCCTCAGAGACGCGGTAATCGAATCAAGGATTTGAGTCTCGCTCGGATGCCTAATCTATTGACCAACTTCGAAAATTTCCTTTCGAAGCTAATCACTAGTGAAAGCATGATAACTGTGATTATGGAGTTATGGCGATTGTTGAAATTCATTGAAATCCTAAAGGATCGTCGATAGGCACTGCTGATGAGTTCCATACTATGACGTAATGTCTGTCCAGTCCTTCCAGGTTCTCGGTGTTGGCCTAACTTAAATCAGTTCATGGCTTCAATGAAATCCAAAAATCTGTACGGCCCCCTACCAAGAAATATGGAACTATATTCCTCACATGTTAACATAAGTAAAGCAGGATTATCATATTAAGTGTGGTTTCCTACTTATTATGTTATTCAGTAGTATATCATGTGAGGAGAAAAATTAGTCGTCCAGTCGATAAAATGTTCTTACGTAGAAAACTATTCGAGCATCAGAGATAGTTAATTTCAAATAAGAAATAAAAGAAAAGAAAACATGAGCAGCTAAAGTCTTTTACTGATGAAGGGATTCATAAAAGTAAAGTTATTCCTTGTACATCTCTAGTTCTAAAATGCACTAATTCTCAAATATATTTTCATGAGGTAAGTAGTGACAATTAGAAGTTTATGAAATCATTCACTCAACAGTTATGAACTGGGAGCACGATATTTAGTGTTTCATATATACAGTCTTTTGACTTCAGGTTGAAATTAATTTATTCATTTTAAGTCACGAATAAATTAACTCTAGCTTTTAGCTTCTCAACTAGAAGTGACTTTTTCCAAATCGTCATTACCTAAAGAGCAAATTACGGAGAGCAAGCTTATTCTCTGACACGTTTTTAAAGAATAAAACGAGAACTCAACCCAAAAGTAATTTATTTGATCCGAAGTTCAAAGATGCATTCAGACAACATAATGGATATGTGAAAATTATATTTGAAATATTCTCAGCGATTGAAATTTAACTAATTCCAACGTTTCGTCCAGCTAACTTGTCTGGACTTCTTCAGGGTAATAATCAAAATCAAAATTATCAAAGAAATATATAGCTTTTAACAATCAGGATTATACTGTGTTTAAACCAATCATATTTGGGTGTTGATTTTTGTAAAATAGGATAAAATGAGTCAGTTGACTACAAATCATGTGATGAATTCAACTACATGGAAATACTTAACTGAGTAACAAATCGTATGTGTGTGAGTGTGTATGTATGTATGCATGTGTGAGAGATTGATATGAAGGAATAAATAAAGTTCAAGTTCAAGGATGAAAATTTTTGATAATGAAAGATCGATGTGCATGTCAAAACATAAATTGTATTGTTTAGAAACTCATTCAGTTCTTTCAATAATAATAACGATGCATGTGATATTAAAAACAGGTTTAAACAAGAGATAGGTTCCAAATTTACTTGTCAAACGAAATTTGCCAGGTAGTTGCCATTTGAATACCATCTTTTCGGTTCAGGCTGTTCTTGTTCGCCCATATATGCAGAGCTTCTGCTGTCAATCTTTCTTTATGGGTGTTAAAACCTTTCTGAAGTATTTTGGTCCCTTCAAAATTAATCTTGTGTCCTGTTTCTAACGCATGTAACGCTATCGCTGACTTATTTTCAAGTTTCTTTAAATCTACCGAGGATTTTGGAACATTTTTCAAGCATTGTTTGTGTTCCTTCAATCTTACATTTAATTGCCTGGATGTTTCTCCAACATAGGTATATATTTCTTTGATAATTTTGATTTTGATTGTTACCCTGAAGAAGTCCAGACAAGTTAGCTGGACGAAACGTTGGAATTAGTTAAATTTCAATCGCTGAGAATATTTCAAATATAATTTTCACATATAATGACTTCTCTATACTCGGCGCTCAATTACTGTCAAACTATTCGTTCTAATCTTGACGAATATTCGTATAAACATAATGGATAATTTGAACAGTATTAAACCAACCATTGAAAACCATAAACTAAAATCCACATGAATTGCATTACACAATTATTTGATTTTTATGACGACCATCTTTATCGACAACTCAAGGAATGAAAAACATATGGATGTCATTCAATAATTAGCAACCAAATGTTTATAATTAATTTTCATCGCCCATACGATTTCATAAGCTTTTCAGCAGGATATTGTAGTATATTAGCGATTCATCCTAGACGTGAAGTGGAAACATGTCTATTTTGGTATATAATGTTTTTATTCACTTTTCTGAATAAAAATTAAATAACTGGTAAGCAGTATTAATCCTGAACTATTTGACAAACACTACATTAGACTGTATCAACATTTACTTCCTTTATCAGATTCAATTGATCACCTTGAAACTTGATGAAATAATTTCAACTCTGAGTCTTTCATAACCAGTAGTTGGATTGATATCCATAATATGCACCTGGAATTGAACCAAACATTCCCATAAAACTTTTGTAACGCAAAAATTGAAGTTTTGAAGCAATTAAACTACGAACTTAAACATAATTTAAATACTCCTAATTATCATATTGGTGTCGCGAGGGAGCCTGTGACGGAACAGTTAGATATTCATTCAACTTGTGAAGCTTTTGAGAACTATCTGAAAAGGTTTGATATCTGGAGCATGACCAAGAAAGGTGTGAATGGTGATAAAATTATGGCACATTTCCTCACATTCATTGGAACAGAAGCATACAGCTAACTAAACATTTGGCATATCCAGAAATGTCTATCTCACTTCCTTATACAGCTCTTAAGGAACTATTATTAAATCACGTAATGTGCACCAGTTTTTAATGTTGTGAGAGGGCGAAATTTCATAAGGTTGTAGCATGGAGTCGAGTCGCGGTTGACTATGATCACCACTAGAAGAAGGTTGCGTACCAAATATCAGAAGGCGATTGGAAGTTGTAGCAATATATATTTTTTAGTGATCCCGTGGTATCGAAAGAATACCGAGATCGTGCCAAAAGAATACAAGCGGAATCACTGAGCAAACGTAAGTGCGTGCAAGGTCACAATCAACGAAAGGAAGAATGTCTTTAGTACAGTTAAACAAACATGTACAGTTAAACAACCACTGGTACAATTGCTTATAATAATAATTGTTTCCATTAAATCAGTCGCTTTCTCTTGATAAAAGTAGGTCACTACAAAGTGATTTGTGGAGATAGACTTAATAAACCTATTTTGTAAATAGGTTTTGATATCTTTTGCATTTATTTTGCCAATTCTCACAATCTGTACATTTATCATTATTCGACTGCACTTGTTGTTTAAGTAGATGACCTTGAATACTCACATCATTCCTTGTGTTTTTGAATCCCATATAACATGACATTGTTAACTGCTCATAATTAAATACACTTTTATACATACGTCTCTCGTTCTATCATGTTTGTGGATATGATAACGGAACGATTAATTACCTATCATCTATATTTATAGACTGGTGTAACATTCACATTACATTCTACGTTCGGATATACTACTGGAGCCATATCGTCTCACTGGAATTATTATTTACCTATAATTGTGGATTCTGGTAGCAAATTCAACAAGACACGCTCCAACCTGCTGATTTAAGTAACGTCCCTAAAGTTTTATTTGTGTCATTATCTTATGCGTTGTTTATTGCTACATTAAATTGTGGACGTAATAACTTTCTTGATGTTTTTGGTTCATATAGTTTTTGGTTCATCACAGATTCGTCATAATAACCCAAGGGTTAGGGAATTCATCTTTGAATTGCAGAAACAAGCTGCCAAATGTAATTTAGATAATCAAATTCATGTGCGACTGAGGGATCGATTAGTTGCAGGAATTAACATACCGGGTCTGAATAGAGAGATGTTATTAATGCCAGACTGTTCCTTTCAAGATGCTAGAACTGCGTGTCTTAACTACGAAGCAGTGAATGAACATGATATCCAGTCGGTTAATATTCCTAATGCTTTGCTCAGTCGTCATGATGTAATACGATCTAAGAGTCGATCAGACTTGCGTTCGTTTAATAGTGATTCCTATTCTCGTGTAAATATGAAGCGTGTTTCAACAAGGAATTACAAAGCAAACAACGAAGGTGAGATCAAGTTTGTTACATGTTTATTCTGTGGCAAATTTCATTTTCGTAATTCATGTGCATTTCGTTATGCTAAATGTTTTAAATGTGGTAAGATAGGACACGTTCAATCAGTATACAAAGCTGCTGTTCATTTTACCTCAAATGGTACTGAATCTTGTCATTTAGATCCCAGTAATTCGGCTGTTCCTAATGATCATTTATCTTTGTCTGCCGTTTTGAAAACTAATGTTCCTCGTCAAAATTCCAATTCGAGGATGCTATGAATTGATAATAATAGACGATAATTCTTCATACATGCCTTGTGAATTTTTAGTCAGTGAAACAGGGCTGTCAATACTGGATTTAAAAAATTTAAAAGGAATTAATGTGAAGTTGTCTTTACTAGTTTCCAAAGACAATTCCGATGTTTTACTTAAAGATTTGATAGCTGCGTGTGCTAGGTGCAGTGGAGGTATTAAAATTCAGCCAATAAAACGTCAAGTACAGGGTGAACCAGTCTTTCTTAAGAGACGAATAATTCTTTATGGTCTTCGAGAAACAGTACACAAAACGTTGAACGATTTGTGTGTGAAAGATATAATTGAATCTATTCAGTCTTCAGTATGGGGTACTCCTATTGTTACGCCGTTGAATTCGTACAGTAGTACCCATAGAATATGTATTAACTATAGATTAACACTGAACTCTTGTTTGTTGAAACAAACATGCACGACGGTGGAGGCTGAACATATTGTAAGTCGACTTCATGATTCTAAAGTGTTCTGGAAAGTTGGATTAAAAGATGCTTATCTTCAAATGCGTTTAGATCAATCTCCATCTATTTTGGCCACAATTACCACTCCTTTTGGTCTGTTTAAATACAACTCCCTTCCATTTAATCTAAGTTGTTCTCCAGCCATATTTCAGGAAGTTATGAATAAGGTAGTCAGTGATCTTGAAGTTGTTGAAGTTCATCAAGATGATTTCATTGTTCATGGTTCTGATAAGGTAGTTCATGACCAGAGACTTATTGCTTTATTACGTCGTTTAATTGAGAAGAATATTATAGTGAATCCAATTCAGTGTTTATTTTGTGTATCTAGTTTCAAATGTCTTGGATACCTAGTTGATGGTAATGGTTCTAAACAAGATATCACACGACTAACTCCACTGACAAATGCATCATCTCCAGAAAATCTTATAGAACTACTTTCACTAATGAGTGCCTTTCAATACTATTCCCGTCTTATTTCAGATTTTTCTTTTCGTGCCAATTGTTTTTTGAATATTTTGACATCCAATTGCTTCAAATGGGGTGAGGAACAAAAATCATGCTTATGAAGTCTACTAAAGTTTCTTCAAAGTGATGCTGTTCATCGAACTTACTCCCCCAGTGTTTATCCCACACGTATTATTGATGCATCACCTATGGGTGTTGGTGCAGTTTTGTAGCAGGAAGGTGGACTGGTTATTTGTATTTCGCGTAAACTTACTGTTACTGAACAAGGTTATTAACAAACTCAGTGAGAAGCATTGTCTGTGTTTTGGGCTGTTAAAAGAGTTCATACATATTTATTCCGAATGAAATCCACTATTGTTACTGACCATGAGTCTTTAAAGTTTATTTATCATCCCGAAAAACCCTTAGCACGTTGCTCGGATGCTATGGTTCAACGATGGAGTATTGCTTTGAGTGTCCATGACTACACGGTTCAGTGCAGGAGTGCCAAACAAATTCAACACGATAACTACATTTCTGGACGATCATGTTGGTGGTCAGAGATAAATTCAGATACATGTCGTACAGCAAACAATTGTGAAAAATATCATAAGTCCAGAAATCAGCGTTCGAAATTAAGTCCATGGACAGTATCACCTGAGGCCTGGCGGAAAATTCATCCAGACTATTGTGGTCCATTTCTCGGCCAATACTATGCACTCGTAATTATTGACTCTGTTTCTGAGTGGCCTGAAGTTTATCACAACTTCAACAATATCTGACTTCACAATCCAAGCATTGAGAAAGATGTTTAGTCGACAAAGAATTTCCCATGGTGTTAGTGACGGATAATGACTCTCATTTCGCTGCGGATGCAGTCACTAACTGGTTGAATGGTATAGAGCGCAGACATTTGTTCACTGCTCCCAGGCTTCATTCTTCTGATGGCCAGGCAGAAAATCTTATCAGGAAATCGGAAACTGCTATTAATTCCATTGCTACTTCATTGCTACTTTAATGAACTGGAGAAAGAAGGAGATATATGTCTACTACAATAGAGGAATGCTAAACATTCTGCAGCGAGAGAGACCGCATCAAGCTAATAAAAGGAAGGATTCTTCGTTCGAATATAAGGTGTTTGGAGTCTGCGGAAGTTACATTTTAACGTGGAAATGATCTTTGACCAGCCACGGGGATTGTGGTGAATGTTGGGGAATGTATAGTACGAATTCTAGATATCAATGACTTAAGTCTACACAACCGACACGTTGATCAAATGGAATTCCAGGAACCAGATGAGTCTGGTCCAATTTCGATTGTTAATTCTAATACTTATGAGTACATTCTAGACAATAAGGGGTCTTAATCCAGTACACTGTCGAACAGACATTGGATGAACTTAAGAAGAGGACGTATAACACTTAGGCTTCAATTCAAGCTGTAGCGGATGTGGTGATTGTATGAGATAAGGATTCCTTTGTACTTGTTGAATGTTTGATTTCGAATTCCAAATACAGTGCATTCGTTTGTGCTTATCTATTTATTCTTGATCACATGGCGCACACGGGGAAAGGACTCTACGCATCGAAATCACACAAGATTACTTCGTGTAGCGCTCACTAACACTATCGACGTAGAGGATATCCTGTAATAGCTTAGGTCGACTGGTTAAGAGTTGACTTCAAACATGTAAGTATATATCAAAACAATAGTGTTCAAGTATTCGTTCACTTTCTTTATATAGGCATTATATTTCCTATTATCTTATATTAAATGTTGAAAAGCTCTATTTGTCTGAACAGAGAACCACACGCTCCACTGTGACTGTGCGACGATGGTTACCTACAGCCACGAAAATCCTACTGGCCAGCCACTTACTGAAACTAGACGGGGACGTAAGAATACTGCCTGACAAACCGCATTCTGAGCTCAATCTCTGATAAATCTCGTGAGAAGCTCTTTTGCGGAAGAAATATCAATGTGCAAGGTGCACCTGTAGAGACGGACCCTAATCACACAAACTCTGATATAAGGTAATGGAAATTCATCAAGCAGTCCCTGAAGTTCAAAATCATATTGACTCAACAAGTGGTGAGACTAGTCAAGGAGAACGGAGATTCGGGACTCCGGCTTATGAAGATAACCTTCCAATCCTCCGATTGACGGCTGCAATTCCGGAAGGATTTCGTGGCCACAGATATCGGTTGCCATCTGGAATCCATATGCATCCGGATAGGCCACATGATGCCAGGATCAAGCACTAAGGCAATTTGGAACTGATCACTCCACTTGTGTTCTGCTTCGATCACAGAAACCATGTAGAGGACAGGAGTTATAAACTCGGAAAACATCGTATAGTAAAGCTACCTGTCAATTCACGTGAGACTCATGCAGACAAACAGGAAGGGGAAGCTCACGCGTTTCAAATTGAAAGCATAAACTGCTTATACATGAACGCCGCGAGTTTACCGAATAAAATGAATGAGCTACGTGAACTCAGCAACGCTAAAAATGCTCATCTGATAGGCATATCTGAGACTTGGATATCTTCTCAGTTTACGGACCAGGAGCTAGCAATACCTGGGGTGTCTTTGTTTGGCAATGACAGAAAATCAGGAATTATACTTACGATTCTGCTTGGAGGAACGTCAAGTGCACAACCAAGAGTTTATCAATCTTGACGAATCTGCATGGTGCTCAGTATGATTGTCTACCACCTCGAGGTGTCTAGTTGGAGTCATCGACAGGAAGCCATTGCTGACATCGAGTACGACAATCGTCTGCTGGAAGGGTTATTCCGCTCTACTCGTCTCGGATTCACCCATGTCTTGATTTTAGGGACTTCCATCTTCCTAAAGTCAATTTCGCGGAACATACGTACATTGGAGATGAAAACTGTACTGAAGCTGGATTCTCCAACCTCAATGAGGATCTGGGATTATTGGAGAATGTGAAGTGGGCAACTCGTTGGAGAAACAGTCAGAGCTGTCGCGCTGAGACTGGGCATTTACAAACGAAGAATTTCCAGTTGACAACCTCTCTGTTGTAACGGGTGGTTTGCAGGTTAGATGCGCAGCGTTTTATTGGTCGGTTCGGTGGCACGTAAACACGTACGAACGACCCAGAGTCCTGGTTGGTCCCGCCTCCCTGTCTAGCCCAGCCAGTTGAATCCAGAACACAAGTCACAACCTCCGAGATATGAATCGTTATATTTCAAACACACTCTGCTTATATACCAATCAAGCATACCACATCGTACCATGAAATAGGAAACAACATTTTGTACAATATTTAACAAGTGAACAAATATCGACCAATAGGAAATGTCCATTTAAAATCCAAGGTCACCATTGGACTTAACATGATAATTATTGGTATATTCCTCTGCATCCCTAACACTCTCAATCCTGGCTCGTCTGTGGTAAAGCGATCATGCCGTGATAGCCTTCAGTTTTATCATCAAAACTGAGCTAAGACATCTCAACAACAACAACAACAGGCTCTGGAATTTCAAACGGTTGAATGTGTCAGCTTTACAAGAAAATCTACAACAGGTTGGTTGGGAAATTTATCCTCAATTTGATGTGGATGTCCAGTGAGATTTCTTACTGCACACGATCTCATGTGCTATAATACTGTATGTTCCTCAAATGGTCCCCAAATTCTACAAGCAACCTACAGTTATCAAGAACCGCACTGTTCGTTTGCTAGGCCGATAAAGGCACTGCTGGGTGGAATACAAACGAACTGGTAACAACGGCGCATACATGCAACGCAAACATATAAGAAACATATGCACAAATGCAATGAGAGAAAACAGGCTTCGGTACCAGATAAAGCTCATCGATAAATTTGCCTCCAATCCGAAAAGCTTATTCCGTTATGCAGCTTCTTTTCTACAAGTCAAAACTGGAGTTCCCCAGCTACTAAGTCCTAATGGTCCGACCAACATCGAAGGTAACGCCGCTAACCTTCTGGCTGAACAATACTCTCGGACAGTTCAACCGACTCACATCAACTAAGTTGATGAAAGCTCCATCTGCAACTGCACTGGAGTCTCCGAAGTGAACCTGAGCGCTGACTTGGTGTACCGGAAACAGTGGCTTCCGAGAAAAGACATTTATCCTGGTTCGGATATGGTTCATTCTGCTATGCCGAGGGAAGAAGCTTAAATTCTGACAACACCGCTTAGCATGGTGTTCTTACACTCTCTAAGCCAAGGTACACTATGAGAAATTTTGAAGCAGGCACACACCACACCACGTTTCAGAGGAGATCGATTCAGTGAACCTTCAAGCTACCAACCTGCGGCACTTCTCTTTATACCCTCACAAATTATGGAGACCCCGTCATGAGACGGTATACACGACTATTTATTATCCTCAAACTTTTTTCACCTCAACAGCACGGTTTCAGAAAGGGTCATTCTTGTATAGTCAAGTTGCTGACTGCAGTGGACGGATGGACAACCATTCTTGATCACAAAGGGAAGGTTGAGGTCATTTACCTTGACTTCTCAAAATATTTCGATAGGGTCAACCATATATATCTTATCAATAAGCTAAAACGATTAGGTATCAAATCACCTTTAATTTACTGGCTCATTTGAAATCTAAGAAATCGACATTTTAAAGTCAGGGTTAACTTCACTTTCTCTCAGGCTATGGGATTTCTAAGAGGGGTCACCCGGTGTTTCTGTCTTCTTGAATTCTTACTTTGCCGTGTATTCGGATAGCGCACAAGTGTCTTCAATAACACATGAGTAATATAATCTTAGACAGGATCAAATGATCAGCGAGATATACATCCGAAGGGATCAAGGAGAACAGGTTACAACAGTGTATAAGTGGAGAGGTTTTCACACAGAAAACTTTCGAAAAGTATTTTCAAGACCTGCTCGATTTCTGCACTTTATACTTCACTGGTCGTGAAAAAGAAAATGTCTCACACACAAGGAATCACACATCCAACCTACTAATACACTGGAATAAAAGCTGTGTAACAAGCATAAGCATTAGAAAAATTGACGTGTGATGAGAAAAATGATGTTAATAACTGATAAATAATGACATCGAATACCCTCTACAATATGTAACGTGTGCGCGAAAATCAGTGGCTTGACGTCCTGACCCTACTGATGAAAAGCTGAACCCAGGTCAAATCTACCTCCATCACCTTGAGTGGCACTAATCAAGGCGGGCATTTCGTATTTAGAGTACTCATGGTTTGTTGAATGTGTGCTGGCCTACAAGAGTTGGTAGTTTCTGAATAATTGGGTTATTTTATTTATTTTTTCAAACACGGAAAAAATTGGCACAAGGGGGGGACCAAATATAGATGCTCCGCAGAAATCAAATGCTTTTTGTGAGGGTTGGGATTTTGCCCAGATGCCCAAACGGATGCATAATTAGGTAGTCTAGTTGCGTCTGAAAGCCTAAAAATGTCAAATAAGCAATTTTGAGCATGTAATCTTTCTTCTCAAGTGCGAACATTGCGTTTGGTTCTTGAGCAATTGTCCATTGAGAAGCTGCCGTTATACGCATTAAGTTGAAGATTGTATTAAATTCCGAAAATAACTTAATATCAGTAAATACATTGGCATGAAGTTCTAGGGACTGTTTACTTGTGTGAGCAAGAAAATGTCCAATGCTTGTGGTCAAGCTTACAGTTTCCTGAGCTTTTGGTCGATATATGTGAATGGTTTAGACGGCAGATGGTAACAAACCCTACTCGTTTCGCATGACCTTCAGAAGGCGCTTAACAAATTTTGACAACAGGCAAGTAAAGAGATAGGAGATTATTGTGAACAAATCTTCAACAGTTATAAAGCCAGTTTCTTTAATGATGAACAAGGTCAGGCTTTCAATCCGAATCACTAATAAATTGTATATTGCCTCGTACTTCCGGTACTACCTAGGATATTCCTTGTCTAAATATTCTATAACCGCTTGCAAAAGCTCTATTTAAAGAGGATAGT